ATTAATATAACAAATCTTAATATTGGACATAATGATATTGGGTATACAGGTGCTACAGAAGTTTCTAAATTAATTAATTTAACAAAGCTCAGTGTTGGGAATAACAAAGTTAGATATGATGGTGCAAAAGCAATATGCAATTTAATTAATTTAACAAATCTTAATATGGAGAATAACAAAATTGGAAATGATGTACAAGATATTTCGAAATTAGTTAATTTAAAAACTCTTAATATAAGTATTAATAATATTGGGAATGAAGGATTAATAATAGTATGCAATTTAATTAATTTAACAAATCTTAATATTGAGAATAACGATATTGGAGATGAAGGTGTACAAGATATTTCGAAATTAGTTAATTTAACAAATCTAAACATAAAAAGCAATGCACTTCGAAGCAAAGGAGCACAGGAAATTTCAAAATTAACTAATTTAACAAGTCTTAATGTCGCAGAAAACAATGTAATGTTATCAGAAAAAAATTTGTCCCGTAACAATATAACACACCAAATTGAGAATGACGGTATAAAATCTATATTTAATTTAATTAATTTAACAAATCTCAATATCCAGAATAACGATATTGGAGATGAAGGTGTACAAGATATTTCGAAATTAATTAATTTAACAAATCTTGATATAGGTAATAACAAAATTAGAGATGAAGGTATAAAATCTATATTTAATTTAATTAATTTAACAAATCTCAATATCCAGAATAACGATATTGGAGATGAAGGTGTACAAGATATTTCGAAATTAATTAATTTAACAAATCTTGATATTTGTCAAACCAAAATCGGAGATAATGGTGCAAAAGAAATTTGCAAATTAATTAACTTGACGAAACTAGTTTGTTGGAATACTGATATTGCTACTAATAATCAAATTAACATATTAAAAAATGAAAAGAATCAAAAATTGAAATCTGGACTAAAGGAGAAGTATAATAAATTGCTTGAAATAAAACAAGCAAACGAAAAAGCAATTCAGAACTACAAAAACCAAAATGACAACTTGAAAAATGAAAATGAAGAGTTAAAATCTCAACTATGTGCTTTCGGGCCTGAAATTATACAAATGCAATCCAAATACAAAAAATTTATTGAAAAACTTACAACTGATCACGAAACAGAGCTGAAGAAAATGAAGTTAGAAAATGAAAAAAAGGTTAAAATGTTAGAATTCTGGTTAGAGTCACATAATTGAAAAAAAACTGGAATTAACAGGATTTGGAAATTAATGGGAGGGGTATTGTTTCTCATAGCCAATGCAAAAGGATCCAAAAATGTTGATCATTAATATAGGCAGGCAGTTCTAGTAATTGTGGGGTATCCTTTGTTCAATACAGGCCATTCAACTTCTTGACCTGTTCCAATTAAAAAGTATTGAATTTTAAATAAACCATCCTCCCGCTGAGATTAAACTCCTCGAGAGACCTCTTTAACCCAACTTTTAACCCAAACCAATAACCCAAACTTAACCAAATATTAGTGGAATAATAATGAATTTACCTATGAAATACATGTTTGCTTTCAAATATCAACAACACCTTCGGCGTTGTTGATATTTGTATATGTCCGAAACATGCCAGCAAGGCCATTTGCTAATTCAGATGTTTAATTTTCTTTTTCAGCCTTCCCCACAATATATGCTTTTGAATAGTCGGAAAAATCCTCTCTTACTCTCCAGATAGCTTCCAATGATATAACACTTCCTATTGATAGTCTGTTATTATCATTAGTTCCCATCATCACAGAGTTTAATTTAATATATTTTTCAAGATTAGTCGCGAACTCCTTGGAAGGACTTGGAGCTCTATGGAATTTGAACAAATTGCCACACATATTAAATCAAAACAAGCAGTCAATGATATGATTGAAAATTTAGAATCCTTAAAATCACTCAAGTTTGTCTCCAAGAAACAAATAGAGTTGGTATTTCAATTCCAGAACATGTCGAAGAGGTGCATCTTCGATCTGTTAGAATTAGTGGGGATGTTTCTAATATCAAAGATTGATTTTAAGAGACTCTACAAATATTGGAAGTTTTAAAAAGCTAGAGTTTGCATGCTTGTTAAAATTTGGTACTGTTTCAGACTTGAATTTAAATTCAACAACCCACCCTTATTTAAAATGTGCGGAGGGTTATCTTGATAGAAACCGTTTACCATCTATTGAATCAATTGATTTTATAGAAAAGAAATATGATTGGATGAGATAATGTGATATTAAAATAAACATTTAGCTTTTAGGTTGAATAGTATATTTATTAATAAGCATATAGTACAACCACCAATGTAACAACTACAATTATTTGAACAATTACACTCAAATAGGATCTATTTGAATGTCCAAGTACTACTGTTGTTGAGGATGTTGCAGATGGTTTAATAATAGGAGAAGTGGATGCTTCAATCTTTCTCACTGGAATTGTGGTAAAATCTGTCAAGTGATAAACTCTACATTTAACTTTTGTAGAGCTGACAATAATTGTTTCAACTCCTTCTGTACTCAAACTTTGAGTTTTTTCATTAACATAGACACATTTAGTTGTTAAATTAGAAGAAACCGACTCAACATTCAGGTCAAATTCAATTGGATTTGTCAATCCAGAAACACTCAATGTTTTGCTGGTATCAATTCCTGACAAGATTTTGAAAATAAAAAATGGTGCAGTATTGTTCCATTGTTGATAGGAGTATAATTTCTTTGAGGCAACATTCATACTCAATACAATTGAATTGGATGAATCAAATCCAGAATTTGATAAAACTTGACTGAGAGAATCTGATGGAAGCTTAATACTATTAATTCCTATTGAGGAATCGAATACAGTAGAGGAAAGTGAAGAGATTGTATTTTTAACAACTGTAGATTTGATATTTTCAGAAATTACAGTTGATGAAGAGCCTACTGGAATAGATGCAGCTTTTGTTTGTGCAGCAACATTAATAATGTCCTTAATAAGATTGCTAGAAACTGAATCACTAGATACTGATAGCAGATTTGCAGTGACTGTCAACACTTTTTCAGCTTGGGAGCTAGTTATAGATGTATCATTCATGAGTGATAACACTTTAATTTGTGTTGAATAGGAAATAAACTTTGGCTCATTTACAACGACACTGACGATTTCTAAAGCTGTATCCTTATCTTGTGAATAAATAGTTGAGCTAACCACATCAATCAACTTGGTACGTAATTCAACAGTTTGACTTGTTGATGAGGAGTTAACAGTTGTCAAATAATAAGCAGAACTTGCAACATCTGCAACTGTGACATTTGGTGAATTCAATATTTGATTAGCAAAGTCAATTTTAGCACCATCCTCTAAAGTAGCAGTTGGATCTGATAATGTAACATTGACATATTGTATTCTCTCTCCTAAATTTGAATCAAGAACACTCAGATATAATGTAACATATCCTACACTTGTAAATGGCAATTTGAAATAGAATGTTGTATCTCCAACTCGTTTGCTTATAATATTATTGGAAACACCAGATAAATATCCAATAGAATAGGAAATAGGATCAGAATCTGGATCATATGCAAGGCATGTTACTTTAAAAACTGTTTGGAAACCAACTCCACTAGTAGTTTCCAATCCAGTAGAATTATCCATAACCTTGAATTGTTGAATGATTGGAAGATTATTCACTCTAGTTTCAAATGTTTTTCTTATGTAATAAAGTTTCATTCCTGGCTCTGTAATTGTAACTGTCAATGTAAAATTCAATTTCAATCCTTCAGTGAGAGCTGGATTATTGGATTTAATGACCAAAGTTGGTTGAGTAGAAAATGAATCAGTAAGAGTAAGAGTACCACTATCTTCCTTCCATGAATATTCTATTGAAGCATATGGAACTTTGGTAATAACTAAAGTGGAAATTGAAAAATCATATTTTGGATTAATTGATGAAATGGCTCTGTATGTTAATTCAAAACTACAATTGGAGCCACCAAAATTTTCCTTACAATTACTCAAAGTATTATTGTTACTATTGGTATTGTTATCATTAATATTATATTCACAATTGATTCCTGTATAATTTGTTTTACAACTACAAACTGGACCATTATTGAAAGAACAATTTCCATGTCCACTGCAAACTCTATAATCTATTGAAGAATATCCAAAACAGACTGGGTAGCAAATTTCTCTGATCAAATTATATCCCTCAATACACTCACCACAGTCTTGTCCTGTATATGGAGCTAAACAATTTTCACACAAGTGAGTTTTGGTATTACATGAACCACCGTTTTTACAAGCTTGGGCAACTATGTAATATCCATTACAAGTAGGAATTTGACACTCTGATCCTGCGAAGTTCAATCCACAGAAACAAATATTTGGATATGCACATCTTCCAATACCTCCACAAACCGTTGGTTCTGAAGCATTTTTACCATTGCATATTGGAATTGCACATTCTGATCCAGTATATCCAATATCACATTTACATGTATTCATCTCAATACATTTCCCCCTTTTTGAACACACTGATGGGTTAGTATAGTTTTTACCATAACAAGTTAAAATGGAATAGTCAACTAGGCAACTAGATCCAGATTGATACTTTCCATATGGACATGTACATGTATCATTGATCATTACTGATCCTCCAAAACATGTTTCACAATTAATACCAGTATATAATGGAGCACAATTACATTGTTGAACTTTTGATTTCAATTTTCTAACGCAAGTACCATCATGTTCACACACACCACATTCTACTGGAAGTGAATAATTGAAATTAACTTGTTTTTCAATGAAATATTCACTATTTGATAAATTAACCATGACATTCAATAGTTGTGTTTCAACGTAATAAGGTAAAGTCAAGTCGAATTGAATTGTTATAGTTTCATTGGTATATCTACTTGTTGAGTAAATGGTATCATTACCAAATGTTACATTAATCTCACAATTCAACGTTGGAATATTTGTTGAAACAAGTAGTGAATAGGAAATTACATTATTGGTTGAATAATATTTCAAATCGACAATAGTATCATTCATTGTTGCAAAGAACTCTGGAAAATTAGTAATAATTTCTTTTTGAGCAGAGAGTCTTGGTTCAAGATAGTTGTATTTGAAATTATTGGCAGAAATAAACAACTTGGTGTTGGATTTTCCATAGTAAGGCACTTTAAGAGTTATTGAACTCGAAAATAATTCAGTGCAAGAAACATTAAATAGAGTGAAATTCTTACTATTGGTTAAATCTGATAGTGTTTCAAAAGAGCGATCTACATAGCCAACTGAACAAATTAAATCTGGATCCTCTGTTGATAATTTCCAATTTGATAACAACTTGAAATTAAAGTTCCCTAAATACTGAACTGACATCCAAGTAAGGTTTGGAATTGGGATACCAACAAAGAACAATCTCTTCAATACTAAAAAGCCAGTATAATTATCATAAACACTGAAGAACATATACTTGTCTCGATCACTAATTATAGGAAATTTAAATGGATTCTCCCAATATAAGGAAGAAGTGTTGGTCAATCGAGTAGAACCTTGAAATTGCCATTCATATCTATATCTTTCATATTCACCATCATTAATGGAAATTAATGGAGTTGAAATATTGATAAATGCTGGAAGTGTGATTATGGACCCAGTAGCTCCATAGCCAAAGCTATTGAACGAATTATTACATGTTGGACCAAACCTATCAGAAACCATGCAAGTATTGAAATCAAATGCAACATCATTTACCTGTATTCCTGAATTCGAAATTGTTCTCCAACCTTTGGTTTTAGGATAATATAGTAACAAATTACTATAATATTTACTATCTGTTAACGCTAAAACCGATCCTGGTTCATCACTGGTCTTACCCAAAACTTCTATTCTCCTAAAGTAAAGATCAAACATTTTTGAAAATAGGCCATTTCCATCTCTTCTATATAGACTACTATCAATGACGGCAAATATAGTACCACTTGTACCTGCCACTAAGTTTTTAACATATTTAACTTGTGTCACTTGGCCAGAAGGTACGAAACCAGCAAATGAAAAGGAAGAATTGGAAATGGTATAATAGGCAATCTTGCTTAGATTATTTGGAAATGATGCACCTGCAATTAGAATAGTATCCAATCCTAAATCCTCTTTTTGAACGTTAATATCTTGAACACCACTCACATTAACTAGTGGAATGGCAACATTCATAAATGTATCATAAATGTAGAATTCTGCATTGTCAAATTTACCACCAATAAACAATCTATTGTCAAGAATAGCAACACTTTTAGGTGTGCCGATAATATCATTAATTGCTTTCCATGACATGGTTGCATATTCGAAACGAAGTAAATTGGTGGCAGTTTCGTTATTTGAGAGAGAAATATTGAAAGAACCTCCAACAATAATATCGCAAGGAAAGATACCACCAACATCCAATGATTCAGGTAGAGTACCATTTAAACAACTAATAGACATGGTTGTAATAGAACTTCCAACACTGAATTGAGTGGATGAGAGACCAGTACTAATCCAATCTCTAGTATAGGCATTATAGATAGCAATTGGACCACCTTCAATAGAGCCAGCAATAGTAAAAGA